GAACAACTCAGCTCAGGTAGCACGGGAGCTCACTGCCATCAGAGCTGTTAGTGCTTTGCTCACAGAAGTGGGATAGATTTGGCAAAACACGGCACAACACAGGGAAGCTCCTCCGCTTCCCATTTATCCTTAAGGTGACAGAGTAAATCTCAAGCATCCTTCACAGGATGCAAGGTCCCCATGCAACCACTGCGCTACTCTGGGGCTCCTGCAGGATGGATGCTGGATCACAAAAAGGGCAGAGGCATCTCCATGGCTCAGGCTTCAGCCCTGCATTCACTGCTTAATATATTTTACTCCCTCTGCTCTGTGCCCATGAGAGGCTGGGGCTCAGCACTCATTCCCAAAAGGCTCTGCCATCAGCAATGGCAGCCGGCCCACAGCTCACCCAGATGCTCCTCTGCAGATCCTGAATGCATTTGGTGTGTACTGAATAAACACTTGACTCTTCCTGTGCTTTTTAATACACTCTGCCTATAATTTCTCTCTTCACACACACTGCTATTACACACACACCATCCCTGAGTGTTGCTGCAGAAGCTATGGTTCTTCAGCAGTCAAATTAACACGTTTTGCACAGCACAGGCCAATTCTGAGAACTGGAAAACTCTAACTCTCCTGCTTAGCACACACAGTATGCAAGAAAATGAACGGGGCTGTGGGGTTACACTGCAAAACTAATTCACACCAATCATTGCATGACCTCCCCAAAAGCTCTCCTCTCTCTTCAGAAATCTTCAGTCTTTGCTGCCCATTACACCCAATACCCCAAATACTCTTAAAACGTACCCACGGATCTTCGAACGGGCAGCACCACAAATGGCACTTTTTAAAGATCTCACAGAATCATCCAATCAATAAGGTTGGAAAAGACCTCCAGGATCACCAAGCTCAACCCCCGCCCCCCCCCCCCCCCCACACACACACACCCACTGCCCACATCCCTCAGTGCCACAACCCCACAGCTCTGAACACCGCCAGGGATGGTGACCCCACCACCCCCAGGGCAGCTGTGCCACTGCATCACCGCTCTTTTGGAGAACAAACCTTTCCTAATATCCAACCTGGAAGTTCGCTGCTGCCTGCATTGCAACAAGCACTCCCACAGCCCCACTTTCTCAGTCTGAATTGGAGATTTCTGCACACCATAAGGAACAGCCACTTACCAGGCGGCCGGGCAGCTTGCTGGCATCCATAACAGAGCTCTTCCCATCACATCAACTCTCAGATAAAGGAGAATTGTTCATCAAAAAGGCATCTGCACACTGTCACCCCACATATTTAGCATTTTCTTTAATGACAGCCTTTGCAGCACCGACAGAGGCAGCTTGTAGAGTTTTTACTTAAGATTGTTAATTACGATCATTTTGCTTGGACCAGTTTCAGCCCCAGCAAACACGCATCTCCCCCGTTTGTGTAATTACAAATGTGCTTCCAGAACCAAGCTCGTCAGTGCACCTACAGCTGTCTTCTGAGCTGACTGACAGGGCACACTTTGGCAGAACCATTAACACCCTGCCAGCCTCATCTGACCTTTGAGCTGGGTGGAAAGTGGCCGAAGTACGACACAGTCACCTTGTTGTGTTTTGTCACCAGGCGTGTCCGAGGCACCACGTGTGGAAGGTCAGCCCCTGTTCAACCCAGTGACAGGATTTCCTATGGCTGAAGGGCTTGTGCTCCTCATCAACACAAACAAGCTGCCTCTGGAGTACCCCTCCTAGCCAAACAGCCCCATTCCCTTCTTTGGGTGCCGAAGAAGGAATTTAATCACAGAATCATAAGATGGCTGGGTTGGAAGGGACCTTAAAGATAACAGAACCATGGGATGGTTGAGTTGGAAGGGATCTTACAGATCATAGAACCATGGGATGGTTGGGTTGGAAAGAACCTTAAAGATCATAGAACCATGGGATGGTTGGGTTGGAAGGGACTTCAAAGATCATAGAACCATGGGATGGTTGGGTTGGAAAGAACCTTAAAGATCATAGAACCATGGGATGGTTGGGTTGGAAGGTCCTTAAAGCCCCCCCCCAATCTCACCCTCTGTCACAGGCTGGCTACCCCCTGCTACATCAGGCTGCCCCACTCAGCCCAGCCCTGAGCACCCCTAGTGATGGGGCACCCACAGCTCTGGGCAGCAGTGCCAGGGCCTCATCTTCCTAACCTTCAACCGAAATCTCTCATCTTTTAGTTTAAAGCCATTCTCTCTTGTCCTCTTACTATCAGACCATGTAAAAAGTCTCTCTGCCTCCTGTTGATCATCTCCCTTTAGGTACTGGGGGCCTGCAGTGAGGCCCCCCTGCAGCCTTCTCTTCTCCAGGCTGAACAAGCCCAGCTCCCTCAGCTTTTCCTCCTAGGAGAGGTGCTCCAGCTGATAAATAAGAGAGCCCAGGCACCCTGCTGTCAGGTGTGTGAGGAGGTCTGGCAGGGCTTCTACATCACAGGAATGACAGAAATGCAATTCCCCTCAAGCCACAAGTTTGATTTTGAAAACGAGTGTGTCAGAAGTGAAAGTTCAGACAGCTCTTGTCTGGGGAAATGCCTGCTGGGACGAGGAACCCAACGCTTTAAGAAGGCTCAGTCAAGCATCTATGACTTAAAGTGAGAACAACCTCGCTGCCCACCTCACCAAGCAAACATTTGCTCCCTAAATGCTGGAGGCAGAGCACACCGGCAGGCAGGAGCTCTGCACTGCACTCCCACTGAACTCAGCCAGCAGACACAGGGCCAGACCCCACCAGGACAGCCACTGAATCATTCCAGGATTTAATCCTGGACCACAGACTGTACTTTGAATCCATCTCTCTGGGCATCCAGCCACGGTGAACCACAGCTGGGAGCAGAGCAGAGCCCTGCGCCCGTCTCCTCTAAATCAAGACAGCCTCGAGAGCCAAACGTTTCAGAAGGAAACACATTTAACTTCCTAACACAACTATGTTCAGCACAATGCAGGACCCATAAGCTGGAGGCGAGGCACAGGCCTGGGCAAGCTGTGCTGATACACAACGTGTCTTGTGTCCTGCCAAAGGGACCACAGACCTCGAGGCTGCAGGAAAAGCTGCTATCACTGCTGCCTGCATCGAGCCTCCTCCACAGAGCACAGTCCATTCAGCAGTGCCATCCATCTTCTGACTGCCACAGGCTCTGAAGTGGCAAGCTGGTTGGCCAAGCCATTTCCTTGCCCAACAAGTTTAACTGACTATGGAATCTGCAGATGTTATTCTTTGGAAAATACATGCTATTGATTGTAATCACCATCCTCGGAGATGCAATGGAAAGAGTATTAAAACCATCGATGCTGATTTTGATTTTATTAGAACCATTAGTGAAATGGTGAGCAGCAAAGTCCTGCTTCCTGCACAGCTCCCAAGCGCCGTAAATCACAGCACAGCACATCTGTTGTGCTCCTGGTACAGCTGTGGGCCGGGGCTGGGATGGGGAACAGCAGTGGGGGCAGAAATGGGATTGCTTCTCCAGGAGTGGATGGATGTTCCTTTAAAGATTCATTCTTTGAAACGTCACAGAGCCTCAGGAAGGAGCCGGGCCCAGGCTGGGCAGAGCTATGGCACAGCCAGCACCCACAGCAGTGCTGGGTATGGCATGGTGACTCAGGTCACAGCTGGCTCCTGGAGCACAATGACACCAACTCACTGCAACTGCCCACAGCAGAAAGAATTTCCTACTGCCCCAACACGAATTGCTCAGGATTTTGTTCTCAACGTCTACACTGGATTCCTGTTCACATAAACCAGCTGAAGAAATGCTCCCATTCAAAACAACAGCTGTTGCTCACTGTGCCCCTGTTAACGAAATCATCTTACACTGCACCAACCAAGGCCTCCTCACGCTGAAATCTCTCTTTTCTCAAGTGCGTTCTCGCCGCTGGAGAAAACCAACCCCTCTCCCCCCTGCCTGCTTTCACTTCACCATATTCACGTTTCCAAACATTTGGGTTTCCAGCAGGATGAGAAAACACAAACAGTGAGATGCTGAACTTTAGGAAAACATCATGGTAAGGGATGGTTTGGGTTGGAAGGCACTTCAAAGATCATCGACTTCCAACCCCTGCCACAGGCTGCTGCCAAACACTACATCAGACACTGGATCTGGTCGCCCAGAAACCTCACAGTTCTACCACCAGACCACACATCCCTCCCAACCCAGGAGCCTGCAGTCTCTGTGCAGACAGAGAAACACATCTGGGCAGAGTTCCTCAGGTGAGCCCTCCCCTTGCTAAGCACATCACCGCAGGCAATGAGTTTCCAGCAGTGCTGCTGCTTCCGGCAGCTCAGGGCAGCAGGAGTTCATCAGATAGCACAGAAAGCCTCCAAGCCACAAAAACGAGCTTTCTTTCTTTCTTTCTTTCTTTTTTTAAAGCTGACTTTCTTTCTGCACAGAAAGCAGCTATTAGGGACGTTACCTGTCCCCAAGCACTGAGGCTCCCCAGCTCAGGCCCTGGGCACAGCGCCCCGCACCGCTGCTGTCACACTCATCCATGAGCCATTCACCATGCCCAAGACCCACCCACATTTTTCAGCAATTAGTTGTAATTCGAGGATTTCGGGGAAAATCCCCTACCTCTCCGAGCCAGATGACTTCACAGGATGCGAGGGCTTGGAACGCCTTAACAAAACCCGAACCAGGCGGGGAAGCTGCGGGCTGTGGGCGAGGCGCACCGCGGGGCTCCTGCGCTGCGTTCCGGAGGTTCCCTCGAATTCAACCCCGATGGAAAAGTCCCAAGGAGCGCTCGGCCACTCCGGCGGCTCGAGTCATGCGCGAATTCTACCCGACTTTGTCTGCGGATGACGCGACCGTGGAAACAATTCGCGGCGTTTCCCCATGAAAGCACGCTCGTTAGGCTTTGCGGCTCAGCCGGATCCACACCGGCGCCCGGCTCAGCCGGCGGGAAGGCCGCCCGGCATCACCCCAGACCCAACGCACAACCCCAGGGATGCTCCGCGAAGTTGCGCTCCCTCCCCCCCGCCCCGCTCCCCACTCACCGAGGCGGGGTTGGCCCTCTGACCACGCTCCTTCTCCCGGCACTGCAGCCCCGCCAGGTGCCTCTCCAGGGCCGCCCAGTCCATGGCGGGCGGCTGCGGTTCCCGGGGGGGTTGAGCCGTTCCCCCGCCCCGCCGCGCCCGCCGCCCGCCCGGCCCCGGCGCCCCTCCGCCGTTCCGCCGCTGCTGCTGTTTCGGGGGCGGCGGGCGGTGGTGCGACCGCGGGCGAGGAGCGGCGGAGCGCTGCGGGGAGCGGCGGAGGGCGGGAGCGGCGGGGAGGGCATCGGCGGGGCCCGGGCAGCGGGGAGGCAGGTAGGCGGCTTCGTCGTCTTCGTCGTCGTCCTCCTCTTCTTCCGAATCGTCGTCCAGCGCCGCCAGGTCTAAGCTGCTGGGGGACGGCGAGGACTTGCAGTCGGAGCACGGAGTCACTTTGCTGGAGTTGGACTCCGAGCTGGAGCGGCTGCTGCCGGCGTCGCTGCCTAAATCCATGCCATCCTCCCGGGAATCCTGGCGGGGGGAGGAGGAGGGGAAGGGGGGAACGGAGAGAAAGGTTCCGCGTTAAAAATGATTAATATCTATATCTCTATATCTCTATATCCCGCTCTGAGCCCGCGGGTACCGCGCACCGCCCGCCCCGGAGGCTCCGCTGCTCAGAGCGCCTCCGGCGGCCGTCGGGGATGGGAGGAGGGGGGCGGAGGGGGCGGCCCCGGGTCGGTAACGGGGAGGGGAGCTCTTTGCCCACGCTTCCCGTCTCTTTTTTGGCCGTTTAACGGAGCCTTAATAAGCGAATTGTGTCTGGGATGTTCTGGCTGGTCAGAGGCGAGCCCGACGCACCAGCGATTCGCGCTCCGCTATTAATTTTGATGAGATGCTTTCTGCAGTGCTGGAATCTGGAAGCAGCACCCGGCTGGCCTTGCAGAAATGGTACACACAGACCGACAGACACAGCAGGATGGATAACAAGAGACCAAACTTCTGCCGTTACCTCCTATGTGATCACAGAATCACAGAACCATTCAGGCTGGCAAGGACCTCCAAAATCATCAACCCCAACCCATCCCCTCAGTGCCACATCCCCACAATTCTGAGCACCCGCAGGGCTGGTGACCTCAGCAGCCCCTGGGCAGCTGTGCCACTGCAGCACCACTCTTTGGGAGAAGAAATCTTTCTTAATCTGCACCCTGAACCTCCCTGGTGCCACCATGGCTCCCAGCCTCAGCTCCCTAAGGGCACAATGGTACAGCTGCTTTGGCCAAGGCAGCAAAAATAGGTGCAGCAGGGTTACACCTGACATTATGCCTTCGCTGGACATGAAGACACTGGCGGCTCCTGGAGGTCTTTTCCAGCCTTGGTGGTTTTATGGCATATTTTGGGGACATACATCTTTGTCTGAGCATATCTGAGTGCTGCGAGGCGGGGAGCAGCCTGCTGGGTTCCAGCCTGACAGCAGCAGCCTGCAGCAGCTTTATTTATAGGATCTCGTGGCACGCGAGATCGATTGGAAGATTTCTGCCATGAGAGTGATGACAACAGCTTGGGGAAGAGGAGAGCACACTGTGCTGCTCAGAGCACTGTTAACACACCATACCAGGGCCACCTCTGGCTGCCAGCTGCCATCAGCTCCCCAGAGTGAAGGGAATACCAAGGGCTGATGTGACCCATAGGACACTCAGATGGTGGCGAAGCACTGGAACAGGTTGCCCAATCACAGAATGGCCAGGGTTGGAAGGGACCTCAAGGATCATGAATCTCCAACCCCCCGCCACAAGCAGGGCCACCAACCTCCCTATTTAATACCAGCCCAGGCTGCCCAGGGCCCCATCCAACCTAGCCTTGAACACCTCCAGGGACGGACAGGGCATCCACAACCTCTCTGGGCAGCTGTTCCAGCACCTCACCACTCTCATAGCAAAGAGCTTCCACCTGACATCCAACCTAAATCTTCCCTCCCTCAACGTAAAACCATTTCCCCTTGTCCTGCTGTTATCTACCCTTTCCAAGAGTTGATTCCCCTCCTGTTTGTAGGCTCCCTTTAGGTACTGAAAGGCTGCAATGAGGTCACCCCGCAGCTTCTCTTCTCCAGGCTGAATAAGCCCAGCTCCCTCAGCCTATCCTTATAATGAAGGTGCTCCAGTCCCTCATCATCTCTGTGGCTCCTCTTGACCCTCTCCAACAGCTCTCTTTCTTGTACTGGGGGCTCCAGACCTGGATGCAGCACTGCAAATGGGGCCTCACAAGAGCAGAGTAGACAGGGACAATCACCTCCCTGTCCCTGCTGGCCACCCCTCTGCTGATGGAGGGGTGCCCAAGGAGGTTGTGGATGCCCCATCCCTGGAGGCATTCAAGGCCAGGCTGGATGTGGCTCTGGGCAGCCTGTTCTGGTGACCCTGCACATAGCAGGGGGTTGGAACTAGATGAGCATTGTGGTCCTTTTCAACCCAGGCCATTCTAGGATTCTGTGACACCTGCAGAAAGCAGTGCTGACAAAGGAGAGCTCAGAGGTGAAAAGCCAGAAGTCCTCAGCCCACCTGCAGGCCTCAGAAGGGCAGAATGGTTCCTTACTAGGCTGCAGAGCAAACCATGTTTGCTATCTGTCTAAGTTTCTCTTTTTTTTTTAACTTTCTATTTTTCTTTCCTTGCAGTCAGTTGCAGTTGGTTTACCCTTGCAGCGTCAGCCCTCCACATTTCTAATTATACACGGGGACCATATTTCCACTTGACCCCTTTGCAAGAAGAAACCACTTATTGTTATTCAAAACACATATGTCATTTCTTCCCTTCCACTAGCCTACACCAAATGGGTTGTTCCTGCAAAGCGATGAACAATTTGAGCTTCACATGAATTTTAAAGGGAGGAGAGTGCGAGCACAAGTCCTTGTAGATGAAAGAGCGTGCTTTACAGTTACTTTATTCACTGCAAAGGAGGTTTTAATGCAAACAAAGCAAGCTGAGTTTGTTCTGAAACAGCAATCTCTCATGGAAGCAGAATTCTCACAACTTTCATTGCACAAGTGCAGGGCCACGCTGAAAGCCAGCTTGCTTATTTCCACAGGCCATCAAACTCGCTTTGTTCTACCATTTTGGCACTAGTCTAACCCCTTATTAAAGACACCTCAGGTGCTTTCTCTTCCTTATGATAAAGTGCAGAACTTTTAGGTAGGGGCAGGAGGAGGATAGAGAAGCCCAGCAGCCCCAGCCAGCCCCTCCTGCCCTCTCCAACCCAATCTGTCATTGGGAGCATCACCCACAGCTCCATTCCCAGGCACCAATCAGCCCCACGGGGATACACAGCAGGGCAGAATGCAACCACATGCTTTTGAATTAGCATTTTTTTGGAAAACTTTGTGTTTCTCCCAGTTTTGGAGGCCTAAATACATAGACCTTTGCTGCCAAATGCATGGACTCAGCCTCCCAGTGCCTGCTCACTGCAGCCTGGAGCCTACTGGGAACCCACCACTGGTCCAAGAAAACACAGTGCCTTTACCTGACAGAGCAGGGGCTTCCAGGAGCCCTTTCTGATGAAGCTGCTGAGTCTCAGGCTGAGCTGACCGCTGCTATTATGCAGCTGGGGCTTTGCCAGGGAAATGGTGCTAATCTGCCCCTTGAAGCAGCAGCAACACACGTTTCCTCTGAACAATAGCAGCTCATGTCATGGATTTCCTTTAAGCAATAATGGAAAAAAAAAGCCTCTAAAGAGCTTCCCCTTCCCTGCACAAGCATCCTGCCACTGCTGCAGAATGTCACAGAATCATGGAATCCTAGAATGGCCTGGGTTGTAAAGGACCACAGTGCTCATCCAGTTCCAACCTCCTGCTGTGTGCAGGGCCACCAACCAGCAGCCCAGGCTGCCCAGAGCCACATCCAGCCTGGCCTTGAATGCCTGCAGGGATGGGGCACCCACACATCATGGCTGCATGCTGGCTGTCACCCAGCAGGGACCCCATCCTGCACAGCCAACCAGCTGGGCTCCCCATCTCACAGCCAGGAGAAGCCAGTTTATGCCCGACACAACCGCTGGCCCCAGATTTTATTCAGGAGCCCTTTTTTACCTATTGCCCTACTGACACCAAAGTTCTCTACCACGTATTCCCCAGCAGGGCAGGGGCAGCACTGTGCCATCCCCACAGCTCTGCGTTCCTCAGAGAAAAATCACTGCTTTTTGAGGAGCTTTTTGACAGTGATTCTTTGCTGAGAGGCGCACGCAGATACCATGGTGACAGACACCTTCCCCTATCGCGAAAGCAAACAGGAACTCAGGAATTTGTGTTTTAAGGCCAAACTATATATAGGAGCAACGCGCGCTCAACATCTTGCTGCTGTTTCCTATTAGTGCTGTTTGCTTGATGAATCCCTCGCAGCCC